ATTTTAGATGTAACATATGACTTCATTCATATCCATATTTAGATATCTATCTATAGTATATAACCTCCTCTCTTGTCCTTTCTTTCTATATTTAGTTCAACGCCGCAACCTTTTGCTCTCTTTAGATCTTCCTAGCTTTTGCTGCTCTGAAATTCAAATCTGAGGCGCCTCTGCTGTATCTTCCATCTATCTCTCTCCTCCCTCTTAAATCCATCTTTTTTTCCCTTTTTCCGATTTATATCTTCTAAATCCTTCAACTTCCATTTGTTTCAAACTTTCATAGGTTCCTTCCCTAGTCAACTTATTGTTGTTGGAGCTTTGATCCTACAGTTCTTAAAACGAAGCTATTCCTTTTAGTTGCTTCTTCTTCAAGATCTTATCTAGCTCTGCTTAGAAAGTAAGCTGAAAATTTTCTTCTTGGAAACGGACGGTAAAATTCCTTGAGAATCTTTATCTTCCTTTTAAAGGACGTCGAGTTGGAATACGTAGAATGGTTTTCTACCTTGAAAGTTATTAGCACAACGTATCGGGATAAAGCAGAGTCAAATTAAGGTAAAAATAGGGAAAGTTTCAATGGATTCAAGTACCCATCGAAGTTACCAAGGCCAAAATAACCAATCCGGTTCTGGGTTATTACGTTTTCGTTCTGCTCCAATCTCTGTTCCTGCTGATTTCAGCGATACCGTTGATTGCGGGGTCAACAAAGGTGGTTTCGATATATCCAGATTCGTTAGTTCAAGCGGCGGCGGAAATGGCGAAGTAGAGGGTAAATCTGGGTCGGAGGCGGCTGCTAACTATGCAAGTTCAGGGTTGCCGCCTCAGTATCCGAGGCATAGCTCGTATGACTTATTGGATCAACGGAGTCGAGGGAAAGCGGTTACTTCTATTTTAACGAGGCAAAGCAGCTCGCCGCCAGGGATTTTTACCAACTTATCTGTTCAAAATGGTATTCTTATGATTTTCACTTTATTTTCATGTCTTTATTGCTTTGCTTTCTTGTTTATAGAAAGATGAAAAGTTTTACCCTTTTGCTTTTCTTACCCTCCACTTTCTTCATTGGGATTTTTGTAAATTAAAAGTATAATATTAAAAATATATACAGTAATTAACATTTAATTAAATAATTATTTTTGACTTAATTTTTTTTTGAGTATTTTGATATTCAAGGTTTGATAATGATGTAGAAAGACACTGATATTAGAATAAATAGTAATTTTAACAAATTCCTTGATTTTAATCTTTTATTTTTAGATAAAAGTAACTATTTAGTCGAATATTATAAACATTTTTTTTATCATTATCCTTAAATTAAAGGATAGAACTCTGAATGTTTAGAGCCGGCTGTGGTAAGCCAAAGTTAGCTGAAACTGTGTTGGTTAAATAAACGGCAGGCTATGGCAGCATGAAAGATTTGGGAAACTACACTGGAGAACTAAGTCCTTCGAACAGATTGAAGAATCAGATTAGCTTCTCAGCAAGACAACCTTCTTTATTGAGCATGTTGTCGCATATTTCCAAAATCGGCGACGACAGCGTCGGGGCTAATAGCTTCGACGGAGGTTCTTGGAGTAATGATTTTGCACAATTTACACACAATTTTTCCGGCTTGATGATGTCACGAGATAACCAGGTATTATTACGTTGCATATCAATTATGAAAATACCATAGATTGTATTTGTGAGTGGTGGTTTTATGAGTAGAATGGAGACGTTGGAAGTGGTGTTCATGTATTATCGCACCATTTAAGTCTACCAAAGACCTCAAATGAGATGGCTGCGGTGGATAGGTATCTGCATTTTCAAGATTCAGTGCCCTGTAAGGTCAGAGCTAAGCGTGGTTGTGCTACTAATCCTCGAAGCATTGCAGAAAGGGTAAAATAACCTACCCCAATTCACCTTATTTTGGTGGTTTTTTGCAGCTTAAGTTTTAGGGTAAACTTTATATTTGGTCACCCACCAATTATTTAGTTTCTGTTTTGATCACACAGAGTTAAAAATTAATGGTGATATTGATGTATCACCATAAGATGATTTCATATCAGTAATGAAAAAATAATTTTAAAAAATAATAAGTCAGCATCATTATTAAATTTTTAATAGTGTGTGACAAAAACGGAACTGAAATGCAAAGTTAGGGATGATTTGAATAAATATAATAATAAAATGATCAAAACAGAAATTAAGTAATACGTGGTTGACCAAATAGGTAGTTTACCCTAAGTTTTATTTGAACGCATTTGGTGATTTAATGAAGATGATTATGTAAAGGGTAAATTACTTTTTTTTTCCAGGTGAGAAGAACACGTATCAGTGAACGGATGAGAAAGCTTCAGGAGCTTGTCCCCAACATGGACAAGGTAAATCACTTTTCGGTCCAATTTTATAAAAGGTCCCTATACTATGCGTTTTTAGTAGATTTGATCTCTTGTTTTGAAATTTGTATTCAATTCTGTAATCATCATTTTTTTTTCCATTTATTCTGTTAAAATGACATGGCTTATATATTTTAAACATGTAATCATATACATCTACACTTTACTTTTTTTTTTACAATTTCTATAAATATTATAACTTATAAAAAAACGTGCGACACAATTGTACAATTTTAATAAATCAAATTCTATATTCTATTTAGCATTTTCTAATTTTTTTTTTGTTAAAAGTATCGTGAAACCGATAAATAATGTTAAAAATATTATTTGCTTCTAAGAAAATATAAGTTTGAAAAATATTTTTTAATTTAAAGATAGAATTTGTATTTATTATATAATTAATAAATTATTTTCAGGTATAAATTTTTTATGTCTTATTATATTAATTTTTTTTAAAATAATTTATTTTTGAATTTTACACATCTTAATGTAATTTTTACAATAATTTACAAAGTTATTTTTTAATAAAAATATTTTTATATTATTATCTTAATTATATTTAATGCATTATAAGATTAATTAATTTAAATATAATTTATATACGGTTCAAAAAGATATAATTTATATGCATATTCTTAACTCATAACATCATTTTATCTTTTTAAAATATATTTTTAATAATAATTTTATTTAAATATTAAACCAATTTTGTGAAAAATATTTTTGAAATACCCTTTACTATCATTTTTGAAAAATAATATTTAACTAAGTCACGGCAAAAGATCTGACAAAATTAAATGAAAAAGTTAATATAAAAAAACATATATTTAAAAAAATGAAAAGAAATAGAAATAATCAACTTATAGGAGAAAGATTAAATCTGTAAAATGCACTTACCGTGTACATATTTTGGGGTAAAGAAATTGTACAAGGAAACTGAGTTGTTTAGATTGGGCAGCAAACACACGCAGCAGACATGTTAGATTTGGCAGTGGACTACATCAAGGACCTTCAAAAGCAGCTCAAGGTACGTAAAACTGGCTTACTATGAAACATGGAATTAAGTTCAAAATTTATCAGGCAGATAGTTAAACTTAATCATTAGATTAAAACATTTGGGTCCTTCATATCAAGTAGAAGACAAGTTGTGATTCCATATTCATTTTGTCATACATTAAGATGGGAACCCAGGACTTTATATTGGGGATTAATTTGAACTTTTAAAATTTTAGAGGTAAACTCGAACTTATAAAATTTCAGAATAACAAAAATAGATTTTCAATAGAAAAAAATCTAAAATACATAATAAAAAAGTTTTTGTGCCCAAAGTATAAAATTCTGTTTGTCTTATCGTGGGCATGACCCAAGATCATTGTGACGTAGAACTAGTGCTGTGGCATTGGTCTTACGGTTGCAATAATGGTGTTTTGCAGGCTCTGAGTGACAATCGGGCAAACTGCAAGTGCTTGAATATTCACAGGGCAATGCCTAATCAACTTGTATGATTTTGCTTCTCTTCAATGAGAGAGAATTTCATTGTAAAAAGTCAGTCCTTTAAGCTAACAAAGGCTTCCCACTTTACATGTTTTTTAATTGCAATTTCACTTTGAATTTAGTGGACTCTTGGATTTAGAAACCTGCTGAATTTCATTTTTTATATGCACATGTATTACCATTAACGTTTTACACCCAGCCCCAAAAACATTTCAATATTCTCTCGCGAGATCTCATTCTGAGTTATCAGAGAATATTTATACTACTAAAATTTAAAATTTTTATCTATTATAGATTTTTTTATGTATTTTTATTTTTTTTTAAATTGTTCTTGGAATTTTGTAAGTTATTCGTTTCTTAAAATTTTAGAAAAACACTCTTATCATAAAATTATTCATACTTTGTTATATATATTTCTTTTAAATCGGTTTAAATCCTTTGTTATATATACTTCTTTTAAATCGGTTTTTAAACTTTTAAACATTCTAATTTTTTAAATTAAATTATTAACAATATTAGTATTTATATGTTGTTTTTAAAATACAATATAATACTTTTATGTATTTAAGGTTCAAGTTTGGGTTTCAAACGAGTTAAGATCGAAAATATTTTGAGTTCAAATTTTTTCGAGATGAATTTAAACTTTAATTTTTATTTTCAAGTTCAAATCAAATGTAAGCTCTCAAACTTTTACATCGAGTAAAATATAATTTTAAAATTTTTTAGTCGAATTCAACGAAATTGGAACTAGATTCGAAGTCAATAACACTCAATACGACAGAGTAGCAAAAGAAAACTAGTTTGTCTCACTCAACTCAATTTGGTAGGACCAATGAGGAGATTACTGTTTTACCCCCAGCCGGCTCCTCCCAAAAACAAGCAGAAGATTGTTGCAAGGAAAAGAAAATCCTAATCGATTGAAAATGAAGTGGTAACGAATAGTATTAGCTAGATTTAGGACAAAAGAAAGAGGCTCCGAAGAATAAGACAAAAGCTTTGTTTCCTATAGCTCTCGACTTTATCATGGATGCCACATGAAGACGGCCACTGACCCAGTCACAGCAAATCAACACCCGACATTCAATGCACCAAAAAGAAAAACGTCCATTAATGGAAGTCCAAGATCCTGTTACTTATAAAATCAAAGTTCCCATTGTTAAGTGATTTACAGAGGTTTCAAAAATGGCTGATATCCAAGCCTACATCATACTTCTCTTCCTTTGGTTAGCGTCTCTCATTTTGGTCAAAACCATCTTCTCCAAGAAGAAGACGGCCTCTCGTCTCCCGCCGAGCCCGACGGCCTTACCATTCATCGGCCACCTCCACCTTCTCGCACCGATACCTCACCAAGCCCTTCACAAGCTTTCAACCAAACATGGACCCTTGATGCATATCCGTCTCGGGTCTGTTCCTTGTGTTGTGGCATCCTCCCCGGAAATGGCTAAGGAGTTCCTCAAAACACACGACTCATCCTTCTCCAACCGACCCATAACAGCCGCTGTCGACTACCTTACGTATGGCTCTGCTGATTTCTCCTTTGCTCCATACGGGCCGTATTGGAAGTTCATGAAGAAAATCTGCATGTCTGAACTGTTAAACGGCCGAATGCTGGACCAGTCTCTCCCGGTTAGAGGTGAAGAATTAAGGCGGTTCTTGCGGTTCATGGAGAAAAAAGCAAGCGCAGGTGAAAAAGTGGATGTCGGAGGACAGCTCGTGAGGCTAACTAATAACATCGTGTCGAGAATGATAATGAATCGAACATGTTCCGGTAATGAAGATGAAGCCGAAGAGGTAAGGAAGTTGGTGGAAGCAACAGCTGAGCTAACGGGACGGTTTAATTTGTCGGATTTCATCTGGTTTTGCAAGAATTTGGATTTGCAAGGAATGAAGAAACAGCTCAAACACGTTCGTGATAAGTTTGACTCAATGATGGAAAAAATAATAAAGGAACATGAAGATGTAAGGAAGAGGAACGATAATGGAGGTGCAGTAAAAGATTTACTTGATGTCTTACTTGATATATCAGAAGATGAAAACTCGGAGATGAGATTAACCGGAGAAAACATAAAGGCCTTCATCCTGGTAACCCTCAATTTACTCTCTAATTTTTTCACATTAAAGTTACTGACAGCAGGCTTTAATTTATAAAATTTCCCAGGACTTATTTGCAGCTGGAACCGACACATCTGCAGTAACAATAGAATGGGCTTTATCAGAGCTCATTAATCATCCAAACATAATGGAGAAAGCAAGAGAAGAGGTGGATAGTGTTGTAGGGAAGAAGAGAATAGTTGCAGAATCAGATATCAGCAATCTCCCATACCTTCAAGCTATCGTAAAAGAAACATTAAGGCTTCACCCCACCGGTCCTATGATCGTAAGGGAGTCGACCGAAGACTGTATTATCGGAGGTTACGAAATTCCGGCAAAGACACGACTGTTCGTTAATGTTTGGGCTATCGGTAGGGATCCGAATCACTGGGAAGACTCACTTGAATTCCGACCGGAGAGGTTTATTGAAGGGAGTGGGAAGAGCCAGATGGATGTGAGGGGACAGCATTTTCAGTTGTTGCCATTTGGGAGTGGGAGAAGATCGTGCCCTGGGACTACAATGGCATTGGGAGTTGTTCAGACGAGCCTTGCTGCTATGATCCAATGCTTTGAGTGGAAAGTTGATGGGAGTGTTGATATGAAAGAAGGACCTGGATTGACCCTTCCAAGGGCTCATCCACTGATGTGTGTCCCTCTCCTTCGGCTGAATCCTTTTCCATCTGTTTGAACTTTGAAGTGCAAATAAAATCAAATTCAAACTCTTCTCTTGCACATACACAGAAGTATCATTGCAGAGAACCCAGATAGTAGCTGGTTTTTCGATGAAATTAAATTGGGTTGGGTCTAAACAACTGTTCTAGGCCCTTCAACTGTTGTTACAGATTGTTGGTTTCTAGGTTATTAGTGATTCTATGGTTGTTGGCTCAGTTGTAATTAGAGTTATAAAAGAATGGATATTGAACCTAATGTATGGGTTTTGTATTCTATGGTTAATGGTTCAGTTGTAACAAGAGTTATGGATTATGAATCTGTTAAAATGTGTTAAAAGAGTTTATATCAGTCGACAGTCGTGTAACACCCTAAATTTAATTTACAAAATTAACACCCTATAATTATTTGGTAAATTTACATAAATAAAGATACTTTCCAGCATTAAGAAAAGTGTGGGGATGTTTTTGATCTAAAAGTGTCATACTTCACTATTATTGGTGTATTCATATATATTACTGGTCATATACAAATTAGTTGACCCTATTCTCATATGTAATGGGGTGAGGGGAGGTAGGATAGTAGGCTGCCCCCAACGCCAGGTTGAAAGCAGTCTCTGTGGAAGACCTCCGACAGTCAGAATTCATATACAATTTGAAATATTATTTATTGTCGATTTATACAACTTGACATATTATTTATTGTCAATTGATTAACAATATTTATATTACGTCCAATTAGAAAACATTTTGATAAGTTCAAACATATTGGGTGCGTTTGGTTCACAGAATATAAGATTACCAGAGAATAATATTACTGGGAATGTTGTATTTTGTGTTTGGTTCGTTTAGCAGGAATGTAAGATTACAGTGTTTGGTTAAAGGAATAAAATATTATTGGAATATATATTTTACTAAATTGTCCTTAGTATATATTTGTTTTTTTAACAAGTTGAACGACAGAAGAAGGATATTTTTTAGAAAAAAATTAAGGTAATTTTAGTCTAAAACGCCGGTAATCCAACAATACCTAAGGGAATGAGGTAATCACATTCCCGGTAATATACCTCCAAAACCACTGTTGGGAATAAAAGATTATCAGGGGCTGAGACTGTTTGCCAACCAAACGAGCGAATGGCATTTCATTCCCTTGGTAATGTGAGATGACTTGAACTAAACACGCCCATAGTTATTTTTATCTTTAAGGTGTAAAAGATTGTTTTTCTCTAATTTATTCAAAAATAGTTTTGGTTGGTTTTGCATATGAATAATATTTATATGAACTTATAATATTTTTTAGGGTGAAGTATACAAATGGTCACTGAACTTTTCAAATGCTTGCATTTAGGTCCCTTAACTTTTAAAACTTGCAATACAATCACCAAACATTTAGTTCGTTTGCAAGTCCCCGACGTAACGACCGTTTCACTACCGTAGGGTAAATTATATAAATGGTCACTGAACTTTTCAGGCGCTTGCATTTAGTTCCCCCAACTTTTAAAATTTGTAACACAAGCATTAATTACATTATAAACCCCAAATTCCAAAATGTTTCAATTACATTCTAAACCTCAAATTCCAAAGTACTTCAATTACATACCCAACCCCAAATTCATAATCCATTCTCAAAATCTATCATAACAAACTAAACTTAAAGCCGCAACCCTAAACCTTCAAAACATAACCCTAAATGCTAAATTTTCCCTACCAATTAACCCAACATAATCAACAACATTTAGTTCATTTTGGGTCAATACCACTACGTGATTATGTTGGGTTTAGGATTTAAAAGTTAGATTTAACCAACTATAAGTGAACAATACTCAATTCGATTCAAAAAAAAAAATTCGACTTGAATTGATTCAAAATATTTGATACAAATTGACTTTGAGTTGTAATTTCATAAACTGAACTTAAAAAGTTTTCAAGTTAAAATTGAGTTGTAAAATACAACTCAAATATCTCAAAATTTTTAGTAATTAGTAGATTAATTTTTAAGTTTGAGTCAAGTACCTTGACTCTGTATGATATATGTATATCACATATGGAAAAAATATGAAGAAATATATGTATTGTATATGGTTAAAAAAACTATTTAAATTAGAATCAAATAATATTATAATATGATAAATATTTATAATTAAATTTAAACATAAACTTAGAAATTCAATTCAATTCGACTTGATTTAAATTTTATAAACTCAAATTGAAAAAATTTCGAGTCAACTATTTTATAAAATGAATTGAGTATTTAGGTCCACCATAACCCTAAACCCACCATAATCACTTATTGCTCACTTATAGTTGGTTAATTTTTTTTGAAATGATTATGTTTTGAGGGTTTAGGGTTGCTGCTTCAAGTTCAATTTGTTACGGCTCATTTTAAGAATGGATTATGAATTCGGAGTTGGGCATGTAATTGAAATATTTTGGAATTTGAGGTTTATAATGTAATTGAAGCATTTTGGATTTTGGGGTTTAGAATGTAATTGATGATTGTGTTGCAAGTTTTAAAAGTTGGAGGGACCTAATTGCAAGCGCTTGAAAAGTTTAGTGACCATTTATATAATTTACCCTAATGACAGTGAAACAGCCGTTATGTCGGGGACCATATTGCAAATAAACTAAATATTTGGTGACTGTATTGAAAATTTTAAAAGTTGGGGGACCTAAATGCAACCATTTATATACATTACCATATTTTTTTACTAATAAAAGTTTAACTATTTTAGAGGGAAATGTTATGAAATCTATTAAATGTGAATTTATTTTTCACATTTCAACTCACTGAACTTTTGATTTTTCATCTCTTTGTAATATTCTCTGTACGCCTATGATTTTATATAATACCTTTGTAAAGCTAATTATACACAAACAATTAGCACTCTCTCTCATATAATAATAATTATTTTAGTTTTCTCTTATTCTCACAATAGATTCTATAATTTTATAATCATATTAAAATAATTTATTTTTAATTTAAAATATTTATCGACGAGTGTTGATACAAGTAGTTGGAATTTAGGATTTTGAACTTGTAAGATTAAGTTCGAATCCTACCACCGTCATTTTTGGTGCGTAATATGTAAATTCCTATGCAAATCTCAACTGAGTCTTAAATATGTCATGATTCTAGACTAAAGAAACCACTCCTAACCTAAATTTTATTGTAAAAAAATCAATTTAAAACATTTTGTTCAAATTTATAGAATTTAAAATTTAATAAAAGTATGTCAGTTATACCATTTTAATATTTAAACTTACATAGTATAATTACAATTACTATTATTAAATATGGCATAAAAATTTAATAAAAGTATGTCAGTTATACTATTTTAATATTTAAACTTACATAGTATAATTACAATTACTATTATTAAATATGGCATAAAAATTTAAGATGTAGTTAATCTTTTCTGATTAAACAAATATAGTGAATTAATATATACAAACATATCTCAAGAAAAAAAACTAAAATTAATAATATTCGAATAAAGATATCGGAAAATTGATTAAAATAGGCAAACAAGTATTTTTAATAGAAGTAGTATCCTTATATTATTAGGAGAGAGATCAATTTCGTAAGATAATTAATTAGATTAATCGATGATAGTGGATGATCATCAACTCCACCAACATTTTATTTTTATTGTATTCCAGTATTCTTTATTAAATTTTTACAAAATAAGAATATAAATATAATTACAACCTTTTCCCCTCTGTTTCGTGCTGGCCCTTATCGATTATGGGGAACGAGAGTGGGACCCACAGTTTGCCGGTCACAACCGATAGCATACAACAAGAAAACCGCAAACCGGCACGTGGCAAGTGGGACCCACTTTCCACGTATCTTTCCCCAAACCGATAGCATACAACCCACAGATTAGCCTCTGTTTGCTTTCTATAAAAAGACCAAAAAGAATTGAAGTCTCCTCCCTTTCCTCGTTATCAGTCCTTCTCTCTTTGGGTCTCATTTCATTATCTCAAAATTTTTAATTTTTCGCATTAATTTCTTACCCTCAATAGTTTACATTTTTTTCTTCCTTTTTTGCCACTCCATTGCTTCATTGGATCCAATCTTTTCATGCTTTTTCTCTGATTTTAGAGGGATGTTTTATAGAAACCAAAATCTGATATTTTTATAGAGTTTTGATTACTGGGTTGTTAAAGTTAACTTTTTTTTTTTGGGGGGGGGTTAATAATTCTAAAAACAATAAAAAGGAAGATACAGGTTTTTTGAAGCAATTTTGAAATCTGGGTTTTCCTTAAAAGAGTGGTTACAGTTAATCTAGGGATGCTTCATTACATTTTAGACCATGTATATGGTGCATTTGTGCATAGAACAAAGATAAATCCGCTGTTTTTCTCAAGAGGCTGGGGTGGAATAAAGCTTGAGCTTTTGGAGAGTTTGATAAGCCAGCTATTCCCTGAAGTTGAAGGCCAAAATTGGCCTCCCAGCTTGAGTCAACCCATTTGGAAAACAGTTTGGGACACCCAGAATGCTTGCTTGAGAGAAGGTGTGTTTAGGACCCCTTGTGATGAGCGGTTGCTTAGTGCATTGCCTCCTGAAAGTCACAATGCAAGGGTTGCTTTCCTTGTCCCAAAATCTGTGCCTCCTCAAAAGATGGCACGTGTTGTTCACCTTGCAGGTATCACTTTGAAATTTCTTTGATTGATTAGTTAAGTTGGTTTTGCAGAACTTTCACCTTATAATTGGAATTGAACCGGTGGACCCTTGAATTTAAGACCTCGATTTCATTTTCTCATCGTGTGACTGTAGTTTAGTTTAGTAGTGATTCAAGGTGAACCTTAGTTGTTTATTAATGTTTACCTATCTTCCTTGATAGTGCAAGTTGATTGCTTTTCTTAGGGTGAGCTTTGAGTATCTGTTACATAATAGTAATTGAATATCTGGGCTTTGTTTGTTTCTGCTTTACTTGTGATGTGAATTTGAAAGAAATGTTAGTATTAAGTCTATTTACAGTGATCAAGAACCTTTGTAAATGAGACACTAGCTTCATGCTGTTTGTTATTGAGGTTTTGTGATGGTGGCTTGACATCAGCTGCACATAGTTGAAGTTTAAGCACACCTAATATGGTTGTTTTAAAGATTCTGATGTTCTATATTTTTCTGAACCCCCGTACCGTTTATGCAGACCAGCAGCTTGATATAGGGCTTACATTAATTAAGACAACATATCCCAGTTGATTGTTGAATTACCTTCTTTCTGACAAGTTT